GGGGAAGCTGGGCTCCTAAGTGAGTTCCGCACCTGTGATGGATTTTTCCGCAGGTGCGGTGGTGCAGAGGCATGAAATTTTCCGCAGGTGCGAAAAACCTGGGCAGAAACCATAAATAAAACCCTTCGCAAATTTGGTTCATTTCCACCATTTTCAAGTTGGATTTTGGAGCTTTTGGAGTGATATTTGAAGGGTGATTCAAGGGCTATCAGTGAGGTAAGTTGCTTGAGCCCTAATACTCATATATATGGTGATTTTTCTTGTTTAATCGTGTAATTAGTGAAAATGAGGGGTTAGGGCCTGAGATTTTTTGGAGAAGTGATTAAAGGATTTGAAGGACCAAATGATGTCGGATTTTGATGAATTTGGTATGGTTAGACTCGTGAGTGAATGAGTTTTCTAGTTTTGTAAATTTTGTTGGATTTTAAGACATGGGCCCGGGGGCCGGGTTTGAGCCAATTTCGGGTTTTGGGCTAATTTGATAGTTTTTCTTGTGGAATTCATTCCATTAGCGTATATTGATGGTATTGTACTGATTGTGAATAGATTCAGAGCATTTGGAGGCCGAGTCGAGAGGCAAGAGCATTGCGGGGTAGAGATTTGACCGGTTTGAGGTAAGTAACGATTGTAAATCTAGTCTTGAGGGTATGAAACCCCGAATTTTTGTATTATTCTACTATTTTGTGGTGACGCGCATGCTAGGTGACGAACGTGTGGGCATGCACTGTTGGGGATTGTGACTTGGTCCGTCCCGTAGCAACTGTAAGGTTGCATATTTTGTGAAATTATATGATACTTATATGTTTTAGAAAGAGTTTCTGTAAATTGGGTCGAATGCCATGTTTGGGCCTTGTGCCAGTACTGTTTGGACCCTTAGGGGCTTTTTCTTACTATCCTCTCACTGTTTTCGATTAAAAATTTATAACTCAGTTTTATGACTCCATTTTGATGCATATAAATGTTGTTTTGGGCCGAATGCCCTATTTTTACTGAAATGCCTGAGTGGCTTGAGAGGTTTATAACTGAGTGAGGCCGGGGGTCTGATTTGTGAGGATAAATATGGGATCGAGCTGCATGCCGCAACATATTCGGATAATTATGGGATCGGGCTGCACGCCGCAGCATGTTTGACATAGGCCGAGGGCCTGAGTGATTTATGCCATGCTTTGGCTTGATATAGCGCTTGGGCTGAAGGAGCCCCTCCGAAGTCTGTACACACCCCCAGTGAGCGCAGGTACCTACTGAGTGCGGGTGCCTAGTGCTGAGTGACTGGGAGGCATGAGTGATTGTGAGGTATGCCCGAGTGGAAAGAGTGATTGTGAGGTAAGCCCGAGTGGCAAGAGTGATTGTGAGGTTTGTCCGAGTAGCTGTTTATGATTTCTTCATTTTTTCTCACCATTGCATTTTTTCTCTGTTTGAAAAACTGTTGAAAAATATCTTTAAATGATTTTTACTGGATTAAACGAGATGATTTGATTCAAACACTGATTTTTAAAGCATGTTGTACATTACTGAATTTTTGTGATATGAACTTGATATGCTTTATTGCTCGTCACTACTGCTCAGTCTTTATTTATTATTGTTACTTACTGAGTTAGTGTACTCATATTACTCCCTGCACCTTGTGTACAGATCCAGGTATAACTGGACACGGTAGCGGTTGTTGATTATTCTGGTTGCAGATTTTCTCGATGATAGCAAGGTAGCTGCTTGGCTACCGCAGCCCCTGCTCTTCTCCCTCTTATCTTCCTTTAGTTGTATTTAGCTATTTTCTCGACTATGTTAGTCTCAATATTATCAGACAAATGGTAGTAGATGCTCATGACTAGTGACACCCCGATGTCGAGCTTTTCCTTTCACACTTTTATTTTGATTTGAACTCCTTTACGAAGGTTTTTATGTTAAATAACATTGAAATTTTCTTTGAAATGAAAATATCGGTTTGTTTTGGAAATGAGTCGGCTTGCCTAGTTTCACGATATGCGCCATCACGACAGGGGTTAGTTTGGGTCGTGACACATGTCCTGGTGGCACTAAAGAGGTAGTTGCAGATGATGAAAGGAAGGCTGCTAAGATTTCATTCCACATTTCCTGGTTGTTTTAAAAGTATGCTTTCACTTTCAATGCATCAGCATCTACTTATCTGAAAGCTATTTATGCATTATATTTCTCCTTTATGGGTCAATTTGGGAGTAGAAAGTATGAAAAATAAAAAGTTTAAAGACCTGGGTGATTCAAGAAATGCAAATAATCATAGTGTATCATTAGAACCTGAAACTACCAGAGTGACAAACACACAATTAGAAATTGAGAAGGTAATTGATACTAAAAGTATACTGAAGTTAATGTACTGTATGCTGCAAGAGACTTCATTTTACAAAAGGTAATATGTGCTGCATTGGACTTCTTACATGGTACAACTGAAGAGGAAGAGTAAGAGACTTCTTCCAAGTATTGGTTTCTATGCCCTTTCTAACACATACGAACTCAATCTCTTAATTACATTGCATATACAATATTAACAGAAGGGATGTGCATAACTGGGTCACTTGGAAAAGTTGTACCCTTCTTTGCGAAAATGCTTGAATGATATCTCTCAATGTTGTTGCATACTCAGTACTTCTAAATGCAATTTGTAAATCTGGTATATTGATTGTGAGAACTATTTTTATTACATACTTTTCGAACTCTAACCGTACAAGAAAAAGTTAAGACTATTCTTCCCCTTTTCTTCCCTTCTTTTGCATCTTATGGCCTACATCTGAATGGAAATTCCAACTGCTATATGATATATTAAGGATACGTGGTTTCATTTTTTTGCCTAAAAGTCTATTTTGACGTTGTAACTTGACAAGCTAAACGAAATAAGAGAACTTGTTAATATATGTATTTATAAGTTGAATTAGTTTGGAATAGTCTGGTGGATTGACTCTAATGCTGCAACTGATTGGTTTTTTTTTTTCAAAAAAATATTGTTATGCAAATAGTACCAGTGATCTTATCGAACTAATAGCTGCAATCGTGACAACTGCATATTTAGTCAGTTGCTATTTTCAAGTGAATTTTAGTTATTGATACCCATATTTATTAACAATAGCCATTTTGCTATGACTGAAAAGCTTCGAGAGAAGAAACAACTCTTCTCTCAAAGCTTTGGTTACAAGAGAAGCAAGGAGGAATGCATCTGTAAGTAAATGTGGTAAAATTAAGTATGGTGGAAGTCTGGTGCTTTTTATATGGACATGTATGAACATGATTCTCTCTTTGTGGGCGAATTGCTGCAACTAACAAGAGAAGGTTAATATTAAGTTATATGCAAGAACTATTCTTAATAAACTTTGTTATTTACTATCTCCAACTAAAGATCATTCAATTTTTTACTTCCTGATTTTTTTCTACTGGTTTATTCTGAATTCTTAGGTGAGCAATGATGGAAACACGTGGCTGGTCTATATGAACAAAAAACAGATCTCTCAATAGAGTTTCAAGATTTTCATCCTCAGGTATCATTACTTAGTGTAATTGAATTGCATTTGCTCATACACAAATGAAAATACTAACTTTTGTGGAATCAATAGATTGTGACCAAGTTGAAGAGTAAACATGTCGGTTGAGCTTTTTCTAGAAATAATAAAGATAAGCTCTCTCCATACAATTTTATAGTAGTTAAAACCAGAGTTTATAAAGTGTGTGATGAAAGTGAGGCCTGACTCTTCATGAAAGAGTTGGAGGCCTAAATTTGTACTTTGGGATTAAGACTGCTCAAGATATTCTGGAGTTCAAGTACAAAAACAAAAGCCATAAACGAAAACGAGATGATAGAATTTAGAAACTTCTTGATCGGCCAAGTGAGGGCTCAGTTTCACTGAGAGTGTTAAACATTAATAAGAATTTTTGACTAACTTATTAATTTTTATTTTTTGTTTTTGTGTTATATATTTAATATAAAAATGTTCATGATACTACTTGATTTGTCTGTATGATAACTTTTCACTTAAGACAGAAGCTACATATCAAATGAGAAACTAAACTCCCTAGATAGAATTTAGAAGTTTTTTTTTTGTAAGGCCATGGGAGGAAGGAATTTCAGATTTTTTATTTCTTGGGAAAGTATGGACTTTTCGAGTGCTTTATTCCGTTTCTAAGTGTATTTTGGGAAATGGTACCTACTCATAAGCTTCAAGATCAATTTTCTATTGTCTCATCCAATGCCATATACATATTCATTAGCTTTATCACACTTATGTTCATAACTACGACCAATATATACCCCTTTTTTCTTTTTGGTCCTCTCGATTCCTTTTAAAGATTAGTCATGATAAATATATTTCTTCATCCAAAAAAAATTGTATTGTATACCAAAATTGTGTTTCATCTTCCGAGTAATGCTATTCTTGGTTTATTTGTAGGTTGTGCTTGATATTTCGCTTCAATGGTTGGTGGCTCAATTGAGTTGTTAATTAAAAACTTGGGTTGCGTGTGTGAAGGGAAATTCAGGGTGACATGAGAGACGCATTGTGATGTTTCTCATTATTTGAATGATTTAGTTTTGCGAAAACTGGGATGATGTAGCTATCCACATTTGTCTCTGCACAAATAGGATATTCTTTTGTTTCTCTACTATATTAAATGATGTGATACTTATTTCCAGATGCTATTATTATCAAGTTGTATATGTATCATTGAAACAACTAGACCTTTGTAGCACCAAAATCATCTCGCTAATCTAGAAGTCTGCGGAGCGTTGATTTGTTCATGTGAATTCTTGCTGGTGTGCTTTTTTTGTCTTTTTGTTTTAAAGGGATGGCATCTTATTTAGTCAGTTCACTAAATAGATGCACATTTTATCCAAATTATCGTCGCCTAGCACATGGATAAGTTGCTTGGATTTCTGTTCTTTAATTTTATTATCTGAGGCGAATTATGAAAAAAACATTGACTACGATGTTGTATCTAGTTCTATTATATAGAAGATCCAAAGAGGTTGACCAAGAGTAAAAAAGTAATTTAGATACTCTAATTAAAATAATGACTTTTATGGTGTTTATTTAGGTTAGCTCTAGAAGTATCTTTATCATTCCAAAAATCAGACGCAAGAGTGCTCTTATTCCAACAATCTTCTCTTCGTCTTTTCAACTGGTATAGTCATCACATGTAAGCTTTTCTTTTAGTAATTTTTTACCCAAATCTTCTTCTAATTCTCTTCAGTTTTTCCAAATTCACGGCTGATGTTATTTTTCCAGTTTTAGTGGCGGATGTCTTTTTTTCTTCCGGTTCTCTTCGATCTTCCCGATTTCTGGTTTGTTCTTGGAAGTTAATATGAATTTTCAAGTTGGTAATTTGTTTAATATGTCATCAGCTAAAATTTTTTCTCGATTTTAGCACATTTTAGATGCATGATCTATGCATATAATATGTCAAAACAACAACTTAAATTAATTTGCAGATTTTTCAGTATAGTTCTTCTTCTGCTCCTTGAAATTATCGCGGTTCCTCATATTTTTTAGTTTTTTTCTTTCTTATTCGGGTGTATTATATGTTTTGGAAACTTGTGTTTCTGCTACTGTGCAAGGATTACCTATAAAAATTTAACTTTGGAATTTGATATCTGCTTCTTTTGTTCTTCCAGATTTTGTATGGGTTCCTCTTTTGAAACTCTGAGCTTAGGCCTTTAGATATATAACAGAGAATACCTTTTTAGTGAAATGGCTGTTGTCGTCAATTCATTATCTAATTTTCTCTTCATTATTTGTCGATCAAATGGACCAATGTGACATAATTATATTCCTGGGTAGTGTACTTTTTTAGAGTGTTCAATAAATTAGTAAAAACGAAACAAAAGGTGACTGTATGTGCTTTGTCGTATAGAGATTAAATATTGCTGCATTCAATATTTTTTGAGTTGTTAAGTTGTATTGATTAAGTTTGACCATTTATTACCCCTAGCTTTGTAACTTCTTATCTGAACATGTTATTGCAATTTTGTTTTCATGATTACATATAAACTATTGACAAAATAAAGTTATTTGTTGTCATTATTTTCAGGAACTCTGAATTATAGTTACAAGCACCGTCAACCTAAAAAGGTAAGTTTATGCTATTTTACTTAGCACAGTCAATGCATAAACTATTACTTTATACGTAATTGACAATAACTATTATTTTGTATGTGTCATTGGAATGAATGAAGTGTTCTTTGTGGCTGTTAAAGAATTTATGCTCTTCGCATTAGTAATACCATGATATAAGTTATGTCAATTATGTTTGCTTTGTCGTGTAAGCTTTGAATGAGAAATCCTGTGCTTTTCATTATCTCTATCTGGTATATGGTGTTAGATTTAAATAACCAATAAACAAAACTTCTTTATGAAAAATTTGTGAGCCATAATAGCTCTTTCACCTCAAGCATTATTAAGATCACAATCCTGGGATGAAATTAATACAATGTGAGGCATCTAGAACGTCCTCTCTTTGAATATTCTATTGTCAATGATTCAAGTGGTATTTCATCGTCCTTTTAATGTCATAAGAGACTCATCTTCATTCTTCAAAGTGGTTATATAATACCACTTTTTATTCTCAATATAACCTATAACACTATGTCTAATCGTGATTATGTGTACATTTGCCTAGGCTTCTGCCTCATTTCAGTTGGTAATTAATTTAATTAGACAAGTTTTTTCGATAAGTAAGAGCTTGAAATTACAATGCAATAACAGATACCAACTATTGTTAATATGCTTGAATACAACCTCCAATAACCTAAAGTTGGATAATCGCATAAGATAAACAAGGCAACCTCCACTTCTTTCTTGGACATATTGATGTATTGCTCTGTCGCCTTTATAAGTATACAAGGCAGCGCTATTAGTAGCAGACTCTGATAAAAATTTATTTCTAGACTAAGAAGTGTCAATGACAGACTCAATAATCTTAGCAGTTGAAATAAGTTCACTTAACAATTTTTTGTTTTGTTTATGTTTTAAGGGTAGACTATTTTTTGGTCCCTTTTCAGTTTACCACTCTTAAACTAGATCTTATACTTTTCATTTACCTTGTGTAATCCGTAAGAACCTAGTCAACACTTAAACATATCCAAATTAGAGCCCTACCCCATTTATAGAAGTTTTATCCTCCCCGAGACATCATATAAAGTCGGGAGTGTTTAGGAATTTTGATATGCTTTCGGGTTACTTTAATTATATTGGTCCGATTAGCAGTTCGAAAACTTAAGGTTTATATCGTACAAATAGAACAAATGCAAGAGTTGCATTTTGTTTTGTTGTGGAGTTTTTGTGGTATCAACATAGTGTTAGTAAGATAGTGAAGGAAGATCATGATTCAACTTATCATGACAGATTAATTTGTAAGAACGAGAATCTATTCAGTTTAAGATTTCGCCATCCAATTGCTATATGAATTCCCTTATATATCTGAAGCTTCACATAGAAATAAGTTATTTTTTCATCAAATGAATTTCCTTCTACCAGAAGATCTTCAGTGCAGGAAAAAACTTTTTATTCTATTCTTTTAAATTATATAAAAAGGAATCTATCTTTGTACCACTTCAAGCAAAAAAATTAGTAATCTATCTCAAATAGATATGGTTTACTCAATGATCTCTAGCATGAATCTAAAGCTGCATAAGATGAGAAAGCGCCTACAAAGAGTGATGAACTTCCACATGCTGCAACAATACCTTTGCCATTGTCCAATTCAGTAGATGAATACTATTGGGAGTATCCAAATATATGCTTTCTATGTGTTTAAGCTATCGCAAATTTGTAATTTAAATTTTGAGTTTGTTATGGGTAATACCCTGCCTTATTTTTATCTGGTGTTTCTACTGTTTAACTAGCAGTGATATTATGAGAATTTATTTGATTGCATTAGAAAAGTGAATTTCGTGATATTGCACGGAAATGACAGGGAATGGCTGCTATCATTAAGTGAACATTTGATTTCTCTAAGAAAAATAACAATAAATTGCTTTATATTGTAACGTGCAGTTGGGCCCGTGCTAAGCACTGGCTTGCGTCATCTAGTTTTAAGAAAAAAGCCATATGCCAAAATTTTAAAACACGTTGGATAGAATTTTAAAGCACACAACAGCTATGGTAATCGTCATAAATTTATCACAAATTCTGATGGATCACCAGTATTGTCACGGCCCGAAATTCCCACCTTCAGAAACGTGATGGCGCATAACATTTCACTTGCTAGGCAAGTCAACGTTAAAATAATCTTAACTATTTTAAGCAAATTAAATTAAATAGAAGTCGATTGCTGCAATAAAGTGCGGAAGATCACAAATACCGAATTATCAAAATACATCCCCGAATCTGGTGTCACAAGTGCACGAGCTATTAGAATAATACAAATAAAGGTCTGAATAAAATTCAAACTGTTTGAAAGATAATACACAGCTGAGATAAGATAGAAGGGGACTTCAGAACTGCGAACGATGTGTAGTTATACCTCAAGCCTCCTCTGAGTAGCTGAATCCGAGCACGTCTATGGTACGCTACTGTGACCAACTCCAAAATCTGTACAAGAAGTGCAGAGTGTAGTATGAGTACAACCGACCCCATGTACTCCGTAAGTGTCGAGCCTAACCTCGACGAAGTAGTGACGAGGCTATGACAGGACACGTACGTAAATAACCTGTACAAATATATACAAATACGAAGCAACAATAAAATAATAAATAACACTTTATAAATTTGGGAGGGAACATGCGAAAGAGGATTGATATAATAATTTAAGCAGGAGAATTATCACTTAGCAGACAAATAATTCCTCAACAGTAAAATGAGCAACTGATGATATGAAAATGGCAGGACACTACCCTTCGTGCTTTTACTCTCATTCCTCCCATAAACTGATAAACAAATAATAATAATTGGCACGAAATTACCCTTCGTGCTTTAACTCTCTTTTGGCATGATATCACCCTTCTTGCTTTTACACTCTTTGAAAATGACACGACAACACCCTTCGTGCTTTTATACTCTTCCTTACCATGACAATGATATTATAAATAATAAAAATGGCACGGTATCACCCTTCGTATTTTTATACTTTTCCTTACCATGAAAATAATAATATAAATTCGGAAGAGTATTTAAATGCGGAGATATACACTTATCAATCAATTCAGTACTAGAATACCGACTTCACCTTCCAAAATATTCAACAATAATTAAATGAATAATTATTTCATGAATAATGATCAAATAATCAATAATAAACTTAAGCAGGAATATCTTAATTAAATAGGCAATTATTCTCGATAAACAAATTTCACCCGCATGCTTTGACTCAACCACAACACATAAGTACTCGTCTCCTCACATATACGTTGTACCCGCACATTAAATCACGTAGCAAATAAACAAATAAGTCCTACTCCCTCAAGTCAAGGTTAACCACGACACTTACCTCGCTTTGCAACCAAATTCAAGAATCCAATAAACCTTTGCCTCGCGAATTCGTGTCCGAAATTCCCAAATCCCAATGTTTTCCAGTGAAAATCGCCTTACCCGAGCTCAAAATCTTAAATAATGAAAAATGGGATGAAATCCCATTTCCAGAACTTAAGTTCTGTTGTCCAGGGATTTCTTCATCGCGAACGCGATAGCACCCTCGCGTTCGCGAAGCACATTTCGTGCTGCCTCAGATTTCTTCTTCGCGAACGTGAGGGCAGTCTCGCGAACGCTATGCCTCGCCAAACTTGGCCTTCGCGAACGTGAAGCCTTATCACCAGGTGCCCAGCCAGGCCTCGCCCTTCTACGCGAACGCAAACACTCCCACGCGTTCGCGATGAACACTGCCGTTTACCCCTTCGCGAATGTGGTCCCCTCTTCGCGAACGCGAAGAAGGAAACCAGACAGTGTATCAGAAAAATTTCACCAAAGTTCCAAGTCCAAAATTCAACCCGTTAACCATCTGAAACTCACCCGAGGCCCACGGAACATCAACCAAATACACCACCAAGTCCTAAAACATCATACGAACTTACTCGGGGTCTCAAATCATATCAAACAACACCGAAATTACAACTCATACCTCGATTCGGACTTTTGATTTTCAAACTTTTCAATTTGCAAAACTCGTGCCAAAACATATTAAACGAATCCGCAATGACTTCAAATTTAACACACAAGTCATAAATGACATAACAGAGTTATTCAAATTTCCAAAATCGGATTCCGACCCCGATATCAAAAAGTCAAATCCGTGGTCAAACTTTTGGAAATCTTTAGCCTTTAAATTACTAGTTTCCATTAAATGGCCATAACATGAGCTTGAGACCTCCAAATTAAATTCCGGCCATATGCTCAAGTCCCAAATCACGAGACGGACTTACCGCAACTGTCAAAATACTGATCAAGGTCCGTTTGCTAAATATGTTGACGAAAGTCAACTTAATTGAGTTTTAAGGCTCTATTTCATATTTTAATAAATTTTTCACATAAAAACTTTTTGAAAAATTATACGGACTGCGCACGTAAGTCGAGGAATGATGAATAGTGCTATTTGAGGTCTCAGAACACAGAAATAATTATTAAATTTAAAGATGACCTTTTGGGTCATCACAAGTATTTTCCAGTATAGTAACTGAAAATTCTGGTGATCGTTAGAATTCTTGGTGCTTCAAACTTTTGGCGATGGAAAAAATCAGGTGAAATTAAAAAATAGCCAGATTTACAAGTGGTAATTGAAAAATAGCCACATTTTCAAAAATAATCGAAATTTAGCCATTTTTCATGTAAAGATAAATTTGAACGAAAACACTGTTCAATATTCTAGCATAATATACTGGAGTTCGAATTTTTTACATGTGAACTTCCAGCGTAATATACTGGAGTTCCAGCATATTATACTGGACTTCCAGCATAATATACTGGACTTCCAACATAATATACCGGAGTTCTAGCATAATATACTGGAAGTTCATACACAGGTACTCCAATCTCCAGCATATTATGCTGGAACTTTCCGTGTGATGGAGTTCCAGCATAATATGCTGGAAGTTCATACACAAGTGCATTAATCTCCAGTATATTATGCTAGAACTTTCCGTGTTGCAGTAAAATAGTGCTATTTTTTAATGACTTTGCAAACGCTGATTATTTTTCAATTACTAGTACGAAAACTAAAAATCCTGTTCAGCGTGCTTTAAATGAAGAGAGTATTGGCCCAGGTTTACTCCATGGAAATACGAGTTTTTTTGGTAATAAAGGATTTGATTCAATGAGAAACATACTAAGTACTATTACAACGAGAGGTCAGTCTAGGTAACATAGTGC